CAAGATAAATAAAAGTAACAAATAGAAAAGGCTGCGCCACATAAAATACAATAAAAGAAAACAAAGTCCAAGTAATAAGAAGTCCAACTTGTATGTCCTTACGGATAGTCTTTTTAGGAGGCTGGTACAGTGGTAGGGTCTTCAGAGACAAAAGATGTTATTCCATTTGAAAAAGTCTTTGACGAAACGCGTTATGGAAATTTTATATTGTGTATTTTTGTATTAAAAGTATATTTGGTCATTTGTTTGTGCCAATTATCTTTTTTACACATACCATTTTTATTTATTTATTTTTACCCTGGCTTTTAATTATTTTATTTAACTTTTTAACCATTTTGGTTTTATAAATATTTGGAAGCTTCCTGCACCCCAAGAAATCCTAGGTGAGGATTAATCCACTTATGCTGATATCACAGAGCAGTCCGCCTGCTCTCTACTTGTAAGTACGTTTTTATTTAATTTATACCAACACTGCTATACAGTGAGCACTATTGGTTGTTTCTTTTTTCCTGAGTACTAGACACCATTGACGGAGAGGTACACACCACATATCCATAAGCGGGGACTATACCGCTGTACGCGCTTTACCCTAGAGCTGGATATAAGCTCTTGTAAATGTGAGTTCTCTACCATTATTTTTTACTACGTCCATATTTGAGCTATACATATTGCACTATTGGTTGTCCCTCTCTTTAATCTTCTATATAAGTGGAACCACTACTATATCTGAAGACCCTACCACTGTACCAGCCTCCTAAAAAGACTATCCGTAAGAACATACAAGTTGGACTTCTTATTACTTGGACTTTGTTTTCTTTTATTCTATTTTATGTGCCGCAGCCTTTTCTATTTGTTACTTTTATTCAAAATTTTAGCTTGTTTATAACTAATTTGTTTGGTTTAATCCCTGCAGGCATTTTTTTTATCCATATTTGGGTCTAGAATAGAATTAAAATCACCAGCGATTATACATATACCCTCTTTGATTTCCTCCATTTTGTCGAGAATCTTTTTCAATAAACAAGTTAGGGTGTTATTTGGGAGATATATATCTACCAAGGTATACTTAATGTCGTTGATTAGGCAAACAACAATTGAATCAAATAACGACCCTCCTTGTCTCAGAACTGATATAGTATTTCTACTTTTTAGTCTGTCTGAGAAAAGCATAGCAACTCCACAGGTCTTTTTACTTTGTTTAGAAGCCATTATCACCTTTGGAAACTTTGGGATTTCAACAGCATCCCATCACAATCCCTCCAGTGAGTTTCCTGTAGAAAACATATGTCTACCCTTTCCTTTATCAGATGAGTTAAAACTGTAGCTCTTTTAAATGGGGAATTTAGTCCTTGTGCATTGACTGAGATTATTTTAACCATAGTAATCTATTCTAAACATGTAAACTCCGCCGCAAATAGAAACATTAAAA